CTTTCCTGCCTATGCAGGGGGTCGGACTTGATGATCTATTGAGGTCCCTTCTGACCCTAACATCTATGAATCTATGAAACCGTTGTGGCAGGCATGCTACAAATTTGCTCCACACCCTTCCTGAGTACCACTCTAGTTCCCTTCCTCTGCCTGATATGCTGCTCTGCTTTCTACCCTGTGCTCCTTACCCAATTTGCTGGTCTGCTTTCTGCCTTATCTGCTGCTATGCTGCCTTCCCCTCCCTGATCTGCCATGTGCCCCACACACATGGTGTCCATGCCATTTGTGGCACACGTGTTGCAGGTCAGCCACCCCTGAGCTAGATAACTCATCTAGAGGTTCCTGGAAACCGATATCATTCTGTACCACATCATTTCTGAAACAGAGCTGTGATATGAGTGCTGAATGTATTAAGATCTTCTTTTTACCACTGAGTGGCAAAACAGATAATGTCTACTTTTAGCATTTACTAATCCGAGTGCTTAGTATTCACTGTTATTTCAAACATCCCTTTGTTGACTCACAGACATTACTAGAAGAATTTTGTGTGGAAATAGTGCCTCAAAGAAGAGGAAACTGCCTTGCTTATCTCTGTCTCTTTAAAATATTCTCCTTTAAGCAGACAGTTGACATAATTATTCAAAAGCAGAAGGCTACTTGAGTCTCTAAATTTGCATTAGCTTGTTCACTTATCTTAAAATTAGAGTTTGCAGAAAACTACAATCTCATTAAGAATATTGTTAGGATGATGACACAACCATATTCATTGGTCTGGCAAGCATGTGGAGTGGAGGCATCTTGCCAGGTCTTAAGGGATGTTTGGAGTAAGTTTTTTTTTTTTTTTTTTTTTCCATTGACCTTTCTCGCAGATGCGGTCTGAAAAGCTTGGAAGGGAAGCCATGTTCAGCCGTTCCTATTAGAAGGAAGTTCGCTACAATGCAAGGCCTTTATATTGGTAGAAGATAGGAAATGTATTTTAAAGGGGATAAGAGAACTTCAAGTTTTTAGTAGCAGAAATATGATAAAACTAAATATATTAACCTGATCTGCTTTTTTGTATTTGCCAATATGTCCTGTATTCCCTATTGCTGCCTTAAATCATTTTTTTTTCAGAGATTCGTGCAATTACTAGTTAAGGGTCAGGGAAATTCTCAATTCTGTAGAAGACTCAAAGATGAAGGGAAAGCATTCTGAGACAATCTGATAGAAGAAATGGACTCAAATTTGCATTTTCACTGACATTCACATGGGTGAATGAAAGGTTGGCTCAAACAGCAAAATGAAATTCTGGTCTGGAACTTCACCTGGATTTGTAGATGTTCAGTTCAAAGGTTTTCCTGTGTAGTAGTAGTTTAGCTTTGAAATCCAGTTCTGAGTGCTGAGAGTTAGGGAGTTCTGCCTTGAGCTTATACCTAGTACAGATAATGCAGACAACATAAGCATGAGACAGAAAAGACCTACTTCGATTATAGAATTCAACTTCCTGTTGGGTCTAGCTATGAACCTTAATGAAAAAGTGCTAAATTGTCTTAGATGTTGCATTAAAAAACCCCAAAAGGCACCCTATCCTTGGGGGTCAGTGATGTTTTTGGGCAGAGTGCCAAAAACACCTGCAACCTTGACTCATAAGATGTTGGTGTGCCAGTGGCAGACAGCAGGGGAGCTGGGAGGGGCCTGGTCCTTGTCATGGCAACGTGGTCCTGGCTCCTTTCCTGAGATGGGAATGCCAAGAAAAATGTTTTTGTGTGCCACGCTCTGGGAGTTGCCTACCCCTGCACTATCCTTAATCTTAACCAAAAAATCAGTCAAGAAAAGCATAGGATCTCAAACTCCGTTTGGAACACAGTGAAGAGTGCTTGGAGGGAGCTGGGGTTGATTACTTCCTGAAGTTCATGACGTAAACCGAATGGGAAGAGGCAGAACCTTTGGCCAGGTTCCCCTGTCGCAAGCAGGCTGGTTTGCTTACTACTACTTTTTCCATATAACAGCAGTGGCAAAACTAAGGCATGTGGGCCCAAAATGGCAATCTTGGTCTTCTCTATTTGCATACCTCTCACATCTTTCTTCTTTGGGGCCCCTTTTCATATCTCTGGAGGAGTTGGGATCAGTGCTGGTGGTTTAACAGTCTCTCTGGGTGCTTAGGATTATGGGAAATGCAGTGTAGGTACAAGAAGTGCAAGCTAGATAATAGTGTTTCCTGCCTTATTATGGTATTTGAGTTTGAAAGTTGATGGGGAATGAGAGAAGCAAGGAGTTTTGCTAGAGGTTGCTGTGGTTGGGAAAGGGAGATAGAAAAAGGAATTAGTAAGAGAGTTAGGAGCTGAGTCACTGATATGTGAAAAAAAAACAGGTGGAATTAATTCTCTAAATTGGTAACAGGGCTCCTGCTGCTGGACATTTGTGCACATGACTTGAGAGTCTTCCCAAGCTTTCTATCTCTTTAGAAGGGTGGGGGGTAAAAGGCAGAGGAAACTGTTAAAAATCACAAAAGTGTTTCAGTAGCTAGAGTTCCTTGGTCCCAGTGAAATAAAAAACTTCTTGGAAGGAGGTTCTCAGTTCTCACTTTTCCTTCTGATGGCTACCCCTTCTTCAGCACCACTGCTCTTACAGGACTTTGCATTTTCTTTGTCTGCCTCATTGCCCATCCTAACAGATATCTTTCTGCCTGCAATTTGGTGTGTACACTGTTTCTATTATGTCTATCTCAGTGGTCCCCTCCTCCTTGTTCTACAGTTTGCTTCTTTTACAGCAGGCAGCCAACTCTTCCCTGCGTTAGTTGTTGGGGCTCTTCTCTGCTCAGCTGCCTGTAGTTGAACAGTCAGCAGAGATGTGTGAAGGGTGTCGCTGAACATCTTGTCTGCGTAATAGTCCAGGATATTGGTTGGGGCAGTTGTTCCAGGTTTTGAAAACCTGAGACTATTGAAGACAAACTAACACTGTGGTCATGAATTGAGTGAGGAAGGGTATGAGATGAAACAGAAGATCTAGGTATTGGAGACAGAGGGGAAGGGGCACTGGTTCAAACACTAATGTTTTGGCACCCAATAACAGAAAGATTTGCCGTTGCTGATCTCAGCTGTAACATACCGCTGTATGTTTCTTTTCACATTGCTAATTTCAAACATGGAAACTGGGGCAAAAGAGTAATAGTTATCTATCTTCCTCCTGTTTTACCTCTTCCCTGTGGTTTAGAGAAAATAAGTAACAATGATGAAAGTATTTTAAATACTTTACATATTTTAAAAAGATAATTCTTCCAATACAGCTTTACCCTTTGGCTAGTAAAATGGCTGAAGTTCTGTCAATACTCCAAGTAATAATATATATATATATATGTCTGTTTCAATATTGACACATGTTTTAAACTGTTTTAGTAACCGAAGAAGGGTTAGGCAGGAAAACACAAACATAAGTCACAACTGATTACAGGAATCATGTTGAGGTGATTCCAGATGCGTTATTAGCATGAATTTCCCTGTAGAATTTCAATGGGAAATATTGTTGTATTGCAGGTAAAGAGGGCTTTTTTTAAATGTTAATAGCTCTGGCTGGAAGATAATTGCAAGTAAGAAGCAGTTTTCTCTAATGCTGTGTTAATCCCTTCCTGACAGAAAGCAGAAGAAGAAGATCTTGTTCTTACACCTGATGGCACCAGGGAATTCTTAACATTTGAAGTTCCACTTAATGATTCTGGTTCAGCTGGACTTGGTGTCAGTGTCAAAGGTAACCGGTCAAAAGAAAACCATGCAGACCTAGGAATCTTTGTGAAGTCTATCATTAATGGAGGAGCAGCTTCTAAGGTAAGAGGAGTCACCATCTGCCTTTTCTTGCCTGTTAAAAGTACCACAGCTTTGGCTATTCTGAGGACATCCCCAGCTTCCAAGAACATAGGATTTTTGTGTGTTTAGCTAAACTGGCTCTTCTTAATTTTGCTGTCAAATGTAGCTGTAGAGTTCTACTCAGGGATTGTATCCAAATGAGCATTTAATGCGAATCAATAAACTCCAGAGCTGCTTGAGCTGGAGTACACTGTTTCTGGGTGCAGCATCTGCACATGCACCCAGGACAGCAACACTTTGAGCTGGGGCAGAGCTGACCTGGGCTGGCAGCAGGCTCTGAGGGTCAACTCTGGGCTCCAGGTGGCGGTGGCGGCAGTGGAGGAACTGGCTGGTGTATGAGGGTGCCAAATGTGCAGAGCTGTGTGGCTAGGTAGCAGCCAGGAATCTGGTCTCTTCCTGGTCACTGTCTACACGTGTTTCAGCACAGTAAATGATTCCACTGTTAGATGAGCACTGTTGGGGACAGTACTATCTTATGGCAGAGTTAATTAGTTTACTGCACCGTAACACCAGTGCACATGTAGATGGTCACACTTAGCTGCAGAGCTAGTTAGTCTACTCCACAGTACAGTGCACATGTAGACGCATCCAGATTTACATATTAGTGCATCGGAGGAATTAAATAAGCTTTAAAGATTCTCAAGGAATAAGAAATGCATTTAAATTAGTATGCTGTTTGTGTATATTATGATAATAGCTTGAAGTGCAAATGTATACATTATTGGAATAGACATTTCTTACAGTGGCTGTTTAAAAACTGTTATTCCAGTTTTCACTTAGCCATAAACTATCAAGATTAAGAATAGGTTTTATTTTATTTTATTTTATTTATCTTTTGTGCTAAAGACTTAAACTTCTTTTCTTTTTTTTTTCTATGTGACTGTTGCATTTTCCCTTGGCAGGATGGCAGGCTGCGAGTGAACGATCAGTTAATAGCAGTAAATGGAGAATCCTTATTGGGCAAGACAAACCAGGATGCTATGGAAACCCTAAGAAGGTCCATGTCTACAGAAGGAAACAAACGAGGAATGATTCAGCTTATTGTGGCTAGACGAATAAGTAAAAGCAATGAGGTAATACACTTTTTATGTACGGTTTGAAAGCTCCAAATACTTTTGAAGATACTCTTGTTTACAGGAGATCTACTGTTTCTTTGAGACCAGGAAGATTAGTATTTGATAGTCTACAACAGAAGCATAGCATGGAATTATTTGAATTTCAGTTTTGTACACGCTAACCTTATTACCAGATCAATGAAGTTTATTTCTTTAGAGTATTTTTTTTATCAATAAACAACAGGAAAGACTGGATAGAATGACATTGATTTTTGTAATTGAATCGCACTTCCCCTCTGAGTTTTGTTCCTTAGGATTTTCATATAATTTTGTCAAACCTTTTTTTTCCCCAAATACAGTTCAAGTTTTCATGGTTTGATGCTTAACTGGTTCATTCTTGTTTCATTTTTCAAACCTGATTTAATTTCATATATCCGGAAAATGTGAAACATTTAGGGTGGAGTGATGAATTTTTATTACAGTATTTTTAAACTGATCATTTACATTATAATTTAATATTCTGCTAAAATCTTTAAAATGTAAAGCAGAAAGATATTAAGATCCAAAGACATAAGGATCATTATTTTAAATCTTTGTTCAGTGCTTACTTGCATACCTGCCATTGCAAGGTAAACATAGAATCCTGAATTCAGGAGTTTCTAACAAATCCATGAAGGAACTTAGCCATGATGCTAAGGAACTGAGCATCACCCCAAAATTTAGGCACTTGGCTCCAGGAGCAAAATGTCTGAATCTAATTAGTGAAAGGATAGAGTCAAGTGGCTATAAAAATGAGTTTCACAACATTCAGTAAACTGAATGCGGGTGATGCTTAAGTTACTGGTTCTCATCCATTTTAGATTTAGGGATCTCCTCTTAGATTTAAGTCTTGGGAAATGTCAGCTCTTAACTTTAATTAATTTTTTTGACTACAGAAAAATAATAGAGCAATTATTCTATTGTAAAGGATTCAGAAAGACCATAACTGGGCAGAATGTTTTTGAAACTAGGGATTTCTATTTGAAATCTCTGGGTTTATCTTATGAATCACATGTAGGTATTTGCACACTTAACAGCACTAATATTGAGCATTCACCCCATGGCACCCTGGTTGAGAACAACTGTCCAAAGCCAACCACTAGGAAATACTGAAGAGAGGACATTTCTTGGCTTCCAGCCCCTGTTCCTGGTACTGCGTATGCATTGTGCATTAAAACATTATTGTATAAAATATATGAATGTTGTTGGTCTCCAGGATCAGAACCAGGACCCCCCTCTCATCTGTACCACCAAGAGAGTGCCCTCGTTGCTAGATGCACAGTATCATGTTCCCTCTTGCTTACTCTCCCTTGTTCCATTTCTTGCATTCCTTTCTACACCCAACTTCAGCAGTAGTTTGTGTCCTGTTTCTAGCACAGTGATAGTGCGCTCCTAAGAGGTGGTAGATTTGTACTTGAACTCCCTCAGGCAGAGAAGAGCCTATGATATAGGTCTTCCACTTTCTGTACAAGTGCTCTAACCATGAGGAGATTTAAAAGGCAGTCCCATCAGTATCTTCATGTCTTCCTTCTGTGATGAACTCAGGTTTGTCTGTGAGTGTCTAGATGTGTGCTTCGTGTTAGTTGAGAGCCCGAAATAGACAAATAAAGTAAGTCTTCTCCCGGACACGTGTGGCCTCTTGAGTGCTTTAGCAGTTCTGATCGGTTTTGTGAATGCTCTTTTGGGGTTAGGGACCTACATTTTGCTTAACTTGCATGTTTGGCACCTAATTATATTTTTGTACCTGGCCATGAAGTCTCCAAATAAATGTGGAAAAGGATTGTTTAATTATATAAATTATTAAATTTCTATTTCAGTTTTTAAGTTCCTTCCCACATTCTATTGATGTCTTTATAACCTTAACATCTCTTCATGGTATCCAATAATTTGTTCGAGATTAATTTAAGTGATTTTATGTAGGAGATATACCTACATAAACATACGTATAGGAGAGGTTTTTTTAGCAATTTCTTTTTGGAGTACGTTTTAAAGACAAGATCAAAGAAGGCAGCAACTGTTCTGAATGGTGGGAGGAGAGGGAGAGTAACCAGTGAGCTGTCAGGGAGCCCTGGTAGAAGCCTGGTACCTCTGCTGTAATTTCCAGAGGTCTGGGTGTTCCAGCAGTGGTGTCACTGTTGATGCCAGCACCCAACATATTACCATCACTGTCAGAGGCCTGGCAAAAACCAGGCAAGGTTCTTTGAGTAGATGTGATATCTTTTATTAGACCAACTGAGTAGCTGGAAAAAAGTTCTTGGCAAGCTTCTGGGTGCAGTCACCCTTCTTCAGGTATAGGGAGTCTCTTCTGTCTCAAAACTCTGCTTTCTTTGATAGATTTTTGGTGGGCATTCATTCTGGTACACAGTTTTTGTTTGGTTTCTCCCATAACCTTAGTCTTTTGGTGAGAAGACTACTCGAGATGGGATGAGAAGAGTCAGTATGAAGGATTTTTCAGAGTGATCTTTTGAACCCGTGGGCGTTGGATTTGGTCTGACTGTTTCTCAATACAGAGAATGGAATGTTGCAAAATGATATAGAATCATTGAAATAGACTTAAGGCCTTTTCTTGTGAAAATAATGACATGAAACAAATTTGCCTTCTGTCAATGAAAACCTTCAAAGCCAAATGTAACGAGGTAGTTTTCTTGTAAATATTTTGGTGCAGACATAGGCCTTCTGCAAGCAAATCCAACAGGGTTCCATTTAAAGTTAACAGGGTTTATACAAATTTATTTCTGGCTGTAATTCTGTGCACTATGCTTGCTTAAGAACTGATTTGGGAGACTTGACATTCACGTGTTTGCTGCAGAACTCACATCTGAGATGCATCCAGTCCCAGAGCCAGACCCCAAGATAATATAATGTATCTGTGAGGGAGAGGGTTGTGCCCACCTGAGTCTAATTTGCAAGTTTTGTAGATTTTACGATTACTTAATGAGCTAGCGAAAAACCATGGTAACCTGTCTAGGTGAATTTTCTTGTGCAGCTGTCGGCACTCTTTGCATTACTAAACTGTATTTAAAAAAATGTTTCTGACACTGCTACTTCTTCCTCAGTTATTACTTTCAAAGCACTTACCAAAAGGAAAATACAGTGGCTGTGAAGTTTTCTTGTTTTACTGTCATGGCTTTCATGAGCAAAATACTAGCCTCTTGCCTAGTGGAAAAAAAATCAAGCCTATTTTCTGAAGGTCTTATGCCCGAGTACAACATAACAAATAGAGAGCTTTTCTAGCATGGGTTCCACAAATCCATGGCTCCATGCAGTTTGCCATATATTTTGGGAAGTCGCATCTAACACACATTTTCCTAACTAATAGCTACAAATGACTGAGCAGTCATTTCACCTTACTTCCCAAGATACAGCATTAAATAATTGATAGTGCTGGTTGTCGCTTTCTTTAGAAGCGTCATGTTTCAGTTACTTGTTTGCCTATTCTAGATCTGGCTATGGCTTTTACTGAACCTCTGGCAAACTTTTTATGTTCACATCAACTGGGGTGAACATTATTCTTTGTGCTTGGAGAGGCATCTAGAAATCTCTCTCCAACTCTCACTTACTCATCATACATCCTCACTAAAGATTTTTATTTAATTATTTGAACAAATGTTCTTAACTGACTCCTGCAAACCCTCCAAGTACCAGCAAGTCTAGGAGCCTACATAATAGACAGAATAGAATATTTCTAAGAAAATAAGGCTGGAAGGGGCATGTAGTCCAGTCCCTTGCTCAAGGCAGGATCATCCCAGTCAAGTACATGTCTAACCAGCTTTTGAAAATGTCCAGGAACAGAGATTCCACAACTTCTCTGGGTAGCCCATTCGAATGCTTGACCACCCTCATAGTCAGAATCCTTCTAATCCCCAACCTAAATTTCCTCTGTTGCAGCACAGAGTCATTGTTCCCAGTCCTATCTTTTATGGCTACAAAGAAAAGTCCATCTCCATCTATACTCACCCTTCAGGTATTGGAAGACTGTTATAAACTCTCCCCATTATGAAGTCCCCTTTCCTGTAGTCAATAATCCTAGTTCTTTCAGCATTTTCTTATAAACCATGCTTCACTGGCTACTTTTGTTGTTCCTCACAGGACTCTTTCCAATCTTTCTAGATATGGGGCCCCAAACTGGATACAGTACTGTGAGGAGGCAGTGCTGCGTAGCATGGAAGAATCACTTCCTTGGATTTGCAAGAGACACTCCTATTGATACAAATCCATATGCTGTTGGCTTTTTTGCCACAAGAGCACAGTGTTGGCTCATATTCAGCTCATGGTCTATTGTAACCCCCAGGTCCTTCTCTGTGGTATTGCAGCCAAGCAGATCATTCCCGAGTCTCTATTTGTGCACACAATTATTCTCTTCCAAGTGCAGGACTTTGCACTTGTCCTTTTTGAATCTCATTGGTTTTATTTTAAACCATGTCTCCAGTCTCTTCCAAGTCATTTTGGATCTTAGCCCTGTCTTCCAGAGTGTCTGCAACTCCACCCAATGTGGTGTCATCCATAAATTTGCTAAGCATGTACTCAATCCCATTGTCCAAATCATTAATGAAGTCAGTAAATGATACCAGACCTAGGTATCAAATGGGTCTCCCAAGTAGACACTGAGCCATTGCTGGCTAATTGAGTAGCTTATTCATGAAAATGTCTTGAGACACTGTCAAAAGCCTGGCTAAAGTCAAGGTATATCACATCCACTGCTTGTCTGTCATCTACAGAGTATGTAACTTTATCATAAAAGAATGAACCGCATCTAGAGAACCTGTGCAGTTTTTCATATTCCCTCCTCCCCCCCCCCCCCCCCCCAAAGAAAACAAACCAAAAAAAAACCAAAGGAAAGAAAATTTGTCATACAAAATATCAGGAGGAAAAAAACAAGATAGTGTTTTAGAAGAATCTTATAGAAAATGAAATTGTAGCTTTTGAAAACTGTTATTACACTTTTAGCTTCCTGTTCACCTGTTCTAATTCCCAGGTCG